TTCAGGTTAGGATCTTTGGAAACTGAAGATTGCTTTATAGTGACTTTGGACACACAGATTCTTATCTTGAATTTGGCTCCAGACATGGATACATTTCATACATTTCTGTGCATCTAGTTCATTCATCAGTCATTGAAGTTTACTAGATTTCAGGGATGTTCCTGGGTGCATCATGTCCTCCAGAGCAAAGAATGTTTCACATCTTTCACAAATGTTAAATTCCATTTCTACAGTACTTCCAGTTGGACTCCTCAGTTAGGAGCTTTAGAAACACGAATGAGCTTGGCTGTAAAATGCCCTTACATAAATATAATTAACCTCATATTGCAGATGGCAAGTCTTATTCACAGAGCGACACTTTAATTGGAACAGGAAGAGAATCTAGGCTGGTTGACACCTGTGGTTTAACTGCAGAGCAATCTTTTTCCTATGAAGTAGAGAATTTAAATCATGACTTATCTCTAGCTCTTGCTGTATACTGTCAGAAAGCAGTGAAAGAAGAGGTTAATGGGTGCCTCGCTTTTATGAGACAGGAAAAAAATGGAGCCTGGGGAGGGACATCTGTCTTGTTCCATATGCACTTAAAAGGTTTTTATTGAGGCATGAAAGGTTGTGTTGTTCCATGCTTTGTCTTTTTGTTGCTTATCCATGCACTGATGTGCTGCCAACAATTCAATAAAGGAATTTCTCAAAATATATCCTATTAACCTATCTTAAACCTCATGTATATGGTATGTGGGTACTAACAGAAGAGAAGGGAAAGAGAGTCGAGAACCTGGGCTTCTTTTCCCCATTAATTCCAGAAACTGTATCTAGTGAGAGAGCAGTGACACTGAAGAGGCAAATTTATGTGAAGTGTACTCAACAAGCAAACATAATTTACATTATTCTGTTGTGTCCATCTCCTTTCTGCAAAAGCTTAAGTTCAAACCATGATTTTCAACTGTGTCTTTTGAACTAGGATGGGGAAAAAGAATTTTTTTTAAGATTTTCTAAATTTTTAATTTATTTCATTTTACTCATGTTTGTATCTACGTGAAATTTAGTGAGGAACGTAAGAGTAGAAGGGATTATTTGGTTCTGTGACTGGAGGACAAGACAGATGGGATGGTACGATACCTCCAAAGCCCACCCTTCAGTTTGGTATAACAGTGTAAATTATTTCCTATGCTCTCTGGCCTATGAAGCAAAAGAAAGAAATACAGTAGAACTAGTTACAGTTTCAGAACACTTGTATATGAATTTTCTGGGCTTATTTCTGTCCACTGCTTTATGCATATGTATTGAACTCTGAGAATAAATGAGGATTTATTAATCAAATATTGTAGGCATGTATGCCGGTGCCAGGTGAGGTGCTTAGCCTGTGAATTGACCCAAGTGTTGAAATTTCTGCAGTATAAGCTGAACTGAACATAAAAAAAAAAAGAAAAAATACTCCCAGCCTGGCCTAGGATTTGGAAGATTTGGAATAGCACTTTGCCCTTCATCTCTTCTGGCTGGGTGTCCAAAGGGACAATTCCATAATTAATTGTCATGTTCTAGTTTGTTCTCCAGTTCTTGCCTTGATGTAAGGAAAAGATAGGAACATAGTGACTTGAGAAGCTCCTTCAAGCAAAACCTGATGTTCTGTTTGAGGCTGGGTGTTGCTGTATCACAAGGTACTTCTGTGTGTTTTGACCTCTGTAGCATGAAGTGGTGATGAAAACTTCCTGGATGAGGAACAGTAGAACCTTTGAAATTCCGAGTAATATTTCAGGTTTCATTGCTTCTGGAGACATTTAACTGTTGAAAAACCCCCAGTTTGGCAGACAAAGGAGGCAAGTGCTAAAACTGGAAACCATTCCTCGTTTGGGAGATTCCAGACTGTGATTTAAGCCAGTTCTTATTTGTCTTAATTTGTCTATACCTTGTGCTAAGCAAAATAACGTGTCTTCCCATTTCGGTATCCTTGCAATACACTGTCAGCTAACAAGTGTTCCTGCTGAGGCAAACAGCAAATTAACAGAGCAGAAGGACAGACAGTATATACGTTTGGGAGTTTAATTCTGAGAGAGCTCATGCTGAGAAATGGATTTTTGCCCAGGAAGCGTGCCAGCACGAGTAAGGAAACCAAGCAGTGATGCTGGACCCTCAGGAGCAAAAGGGTATGTAACAAGCCCAATGCGCCCCGTTATGAGTGTCCATCCAGGGCAGCTCTGGGAGGGCTCTCTGACATGGCTGTTTACACTGGAATGCAGCTTTTCACAGATAATGCATCATTATCAATGTCAATCGTCGCTTCCTGCTTTCTGCAACAAAGCGAGCTTATGTTATTGAGCAGGAAGAAGTGCTGCAAGGAACTGCTGCTGCCTTTTCAACAGGCTCTGGTGGTCAGTGCCATGCAGATGTTTCACAGCTTGAGCAACTTTACCATCCTTGTAGTATTTGTGTTGTGTTAGTATGGCATGATAACAATAGCAGTACTACTGAAAAACCATAGAAGCAACCTCATTCTGCTTTAGTCCAGGAGTGGACTAAATTTTTTTTCTCATTTTCCTAAAATGAGAAAAACTCACATTTTCTTTCTTTGTCCTGTGGATAGTATGGTGCTCCACAAATACAGAATATGTAAATATGTTTGATTATTTCCAGCTTCTTACTCAGTTCCTCTACATTTTTAATATAAATTCTTGTACTCAGGTCATACTTTCTTAAGATCTTCATCCCCATTTGTAAAAAGGCGTTAGTGTTCCTTTTCTTGGGTAATACCTATTTCTGTTTGAATGCGTATGTGAGGAGGAGTGGTCTATATTTGTATCTTTTTAAAAGAATCTCATGTCTCCTTGGTAAGAGAGTATTTGATTTTGTGCTAAATATTCAGAAGTTCATGAACCAAGCATCTCATCGGCTTTTGAGGAAGCCTGAGTGTAATACCTTTCAGGAAATGTGCACAATCTGTGTGGTACTCTTTATTTCTTCTGTCTCGTTCTTGTTAATAACATTTGTCAATATGAGTATGGCTCACATAAAATTCTCCATAATTGGAGGAACCATTTAGTTACACCTTTTATGGCCATAGCATGATGCTGCAGTGTATGTGGAAATTCATATTTGGAGCAGCAAATCTTTATTTGGCAGTAGATGGGGAAGTTATGATTGCAATTGAGACTGCAGTTGAGATCAGTCAACTCATTGGCTTAACTGCTCTCAGGTTCCCGTGGAACTGAGCTTCACTTCCCACTTCCCCATCAGCACTGACAACTGAATAATGATCACAGAATCACAAAATGGGATGGGTTGGAAGAGACCTTTAAAGATCATCTAGTTCCAACACCTCTGCCGTGGTCCATCCCTGACTTCACCGATATGAAGTGGATGGGCTAAGACAGAATCAAGTTGATGTGTGTATTCTCCTCTGAAGAAAGAGCTTTTAAAATCTGACTGCTTAGCAGTGGTCATTGTGGCAGATTATGAAATTGCTTTCAAGGTAATTTGAGGTAATAAGGTAGAATCTTATGCCAGTTAATTCATCGCAAATGTAAAGATCGGAGTTAACAAAAATTATGGAAAACTTCAGGAAATTATTGGTTATTGAATTCAAGTGTATTGGATGCCCCAAGTGGGCATGTGTAGGTTAGCAGCACATTGAAGAGCAAACGTCTGGTTGCCTGCATGCTGGAAACACAGGGAGGTACTGGCAGCTAGCCTAAATTCCTGAGTTTTAACACTAAGTAGTATGAGATGATTTAAGTCCAGGATTTCAGCCTTCTGAGACCACTGCTCATTCATTATAGCGAATTGCTAAATCAGAAAGGCTCAGTGTGCAAGTGACATGATTGGGGTGCTCTCAGCAACTTTAGTGGTTCCTCATCTAATACAGTGGCTTAATTTAGTGCTCCTGTAAGTATTACAGTTAATTGCCCTCAGAATAAGTACAATAGGGATAAACTCTTAGACTGTCTTCTTAGATGTAGCAGAACAGGTAACACTTTTCTATATAAGAAGCAGAGGTGGATTGGTGGTTGGTCAATGCCTATGGAATAATCTTCTGCAGAATGAAAGGATGTTAACCGTATTGCATGTTGTTTCCCCGTCTAAATGCAAATCACAATTCTTCAACTTCGCATTTAATGACCAAAATGTCTAACAGCTGAAATAAAGCAAACCTAACTAGAAAGAGAGTTAACTACAGGATGATCTCAAGTACTTTTCTTGATGTACCTCACAAAGATATCCTTTTGCTGTTGTGGTGGTATCACCACCTTACTGTGATGATAAGGAAAGGAATGAGAACTGAAATAGAACACGAGTTTAGGAAACTTTTTGCAGGGGGAAGAAAGCTATGCTTTGGAAGATTGCTATCATATCTGTTTTTCCCAAAGAAGGACTGAGATGGGGCTTCCTAACAAACGAAACACTAAATGGGCCATCAGAAGAATGAAATCATGGAGTGTTTAAAACCTTTTAAGAAAGCTAATGAAAGTGAGTGGTGATGATCCCAATTTTCCAGAGAGATGACAAATAGTCTAGGATCCCAAGGGACTCCTTGCTATGTTTTTGTGTTGGCCTTTCAGAAGAAAGGTCAACAAGACTGTTTAATACACTAGTGCTGTGTTATTTTACAAAGGTAAACTTTTTTTTTTTTTTTTTTCTGAAGTAAAATGTAAGTATCTTACATGTTTCTAAACTCTCTCTTGTGTACCATAAGAGGAAATCCGGTAAGGATTTTGGTTTACCCTTTCTTTTCCATATGGATGGAAAGCCATTGACATTATTGACATTTCTAATGATGGGATGAATTTACTCCATTAGTTTTAATGCAAACAAGGTTAGGTCTGAGCCAAAGTACTGTAGATTAGCATGACAGAAGCAATGAGCATGTTCATAGACCAGCAAAGATGTAGTGAATGAAATGCCTCTCTCACTCCATCTGCAACCCAGAGGCACTTCTGGATGAGGAGGGGTCAGCAAGTGAGTTTTAAGCTGATGACTCTCACTGCTTTCTTTTTTTTTGTCTTCAGATATCTCAGCTTATGACAGAGACTAGTCGAGAGGGCCTGACTGAAGCAGCACTGAACCGCTACAATGCAGATAAACCCTCCTTGTACAGCTTCCCCGCCTCCCAGAGCACGTATGTTGCTACTGATGTATCCACAGGCACTTCGGTGGCAGCATCATTTTTTGCCAGGTAAGAAAGACTTCTCAGATTTCACTTCTCTGGAAACAATTTCTTTCATAGGAATTTCTTTCATTTTGTAGTGAAGACATGGGGCTGACTGAGTAATGTGCACATGACAAGAGATATGCTATAGATAAAGCTCATCAGAAGCCTACTGAATTACCATGAAAATGTTGTTTGATGCACCTGTGTACATTTGTCTCTAAGATGGGGATGATACTTCTACCTTCCTCCGTAAAAGATCACTTAAATTCTTGATTTGGGATAAAATATGATTGTAATTGCAGAATAATACCTAATCTCGTGTGATTTTTATAGAGGATACCCTGAGTGACAAGAGCCCATCCAAGTAATTTTTTTTGAGATGGGCAGTTAGTAATACAACTGGAGTTGGATAGTTGTCTTTGCAGGCAACCTTCAGGTTCGGAGAATTTTACTTCTATCTAGGCAAATTGTTAAGATTTTTATCTCCAGACTAAATATTTTAGGTTTCTGATTTCAGTTTCTGTCCCCATCATGCTGTTGAATTGACCTGATGGTCTAAACTCATCCTCAGAACACCCTTTCTGTTGATCACTGAGCCAGTGTTTCCAACAAAGTTTTCAAAAATCTGATGAAATTTTCATTTAAAATCTTATGGTTATCTCTATTAATTTGTTAGTAAAAATGGTTTGTTATGTGGGCATACTAGCTGATAAGTGAAATATTCACTATTGACAATGGAAACATTTTTCTGTGCAGAAATATGCTCTCTACAGAACAATCTTCTTAGCCTGCTTGAATTCTGGTTTAACTGAAGAAGTTGAAATAATCTTTGTCTTTTAATGCTCTTCAGTAATTAGAAGATTAACTTGGAAAGAGTTGTGGAAGCAATGAAACAACAAGAGAATAAGCTATTTTCACAACACTTCCAATCCAATCTAGTGAGATATCTGAAACATTGAGTGAACTTTTGAGTAAATGCCTCAGGCATACTCAGATTAGCTTCTTACCCATTAGTGAGCCAACTATTAGTAATTCCACATGATTCTATTTCATTATAAAGGAAAATGGAAAACTTATAAAGTTGCTGAACTTTGAAGACTGTAAATCTGGAATGAAGATTTTCCTATTTTTCCTCACATGAGGACTGCATATGTTCAAGCAGTGTCACACAATAAATGAATCATGTAAGAGGATTAAAAGTGGTATTTTAGAGGAGCCAGTGAACGCTGTTTCGGACATCTCTGCCTTTTTTCTTTACAGATGTGATGCTGCAATAGCAAATGTGAATGAGGACAGTGGTCTTGATTTGCTGCCCTTTTCTGTTAAACTGCAGGCAGTTTAAATTAAAATTGCTGAATGTACTCTGATGGTAATATCTAACTGGAGTGCAGATTGGGATTAGCACATATTTAACATGATTTGATTTATGAAGATTGCTTAACTCATTTGCTCTTCATTGTTGCACTTTTATGCTGGTAGAATTAATTTTCTCTTAATATACACTGCTGAAGTGCAGGAAACTAATTAAGTTTACTCAAAATCCCAATATTAAGTCCCAGCATTTTAAGTAATACTCTTAGTTTCTAGTTGATGGTGTCAGTGCTTGGATGTCCTTGGCCCAGCAGAGAGACCCCATGTTTAGCCTGTTTATTTTTAAACTGTACTTAGCAAAATGAAAGTGACTAGTTTAGTTTGGAATATTGCGCTAGATTAATGTCACTTGGGTAAGTCAGTTTAGTTTTAGACTTCAAATTGTATCATCTGCTGATAGTTCAAGCAGAAAATCAAATTCAGTCATTTGATGCTTGACATTTTAACAAGAAAGTCCACAATTTGCTTTGAAAATGTGGACCTTCTGTTAATTTTTGTTTTGCATCTTATGTATCTTTTTGCATTTTTTTTGAAGTTGGGATATGAAGTAAGAACCTGCATGTTGTATGTGTTTAAAAAGTAGAAGGCAGTCGTTGTTAAACTTCTAAGTTGTTTTGTTTATTTTTGAGTATAAATGTATGCCTGTTTTTTTTGAACATGTGTGTCATGTCATGATTAGATGGATGATCAGTAAGAAATTATTATGCAGGGAAATTTGCTAATATGAAGCTGAGGTTGGAAGTAGAGGAATGGAAAATATTCTTTAGAAATTTGAATCATGTAGCACAGTATTTCACTATGTTCCCTAACAAGCAAAGTGATCTTCAGATGAGCCTCAGATGTAAAAGTCATCCATCATCATGAAAAAAATATAAATAACTAAGATGCTATAGTATGAAGGAAATGTCAAGGCATCCATGGGAACTTTTGGTTGTAATTACTTGAGAAGCATCAGGAGTGGAACAGACTAAGAACTAGGAGCTTATAATTTTTTTGTTCTCAGGCACTGCTGGTCCAATAGTGATACTCACTGACTGGCCTACAGCTGGCAATGAGCCATGGAGAAGTTTCTGAAGGCCACAGCGACTCTCAATCTTTTGAAAAGCCAGCAGATTTATCAGTTATCTCAATACTTATCTGTCATGTTTCATGATATATAGCTGACAGATTTCCAACCAGTTAAAAGGGTTGCAACTTCTGTGAATTGTCATTTGTCAGGATATCGCCGCAAGAAAACTTGTATGTAGAATTCCCATGGGATTGTATGTGACTGTTTTAAAGGAACAAACAATGAAAATTTTCCAAAGAGCTGTTCTGGAAAGCTTATGAATATTAGATGATACAGGTATGAATAATGAATTTCTGACAGTGATTCTGTCATAGAAAATGAATTGAAATGATAGCATTTCTAATACAGGCACCAAATTTGCCTTCCTGTTAGGGGCTATCATTCATTTTAGCTTCAGATATCCTCCAGTCCATGGTAATTTAGCATCATCTTGCTTCTTATAAGTACTGTATTTGTGATAAAAAATAATGCATTTAGTGGATGTGAAATAATGTTAAGATTCTTTACATAATATTTGGATCTTTTTCATGAGAAGCACTCACTGCATCTTTGGGTCTTGCGTCCTCCAAGCATAACGTAGGAATGTGTCACCACCAGCAAAGGGAGAAGAAAAAGCCCATGCTAATGCTGCCACCAAACTGAGGGAAGGACCTTCTTTTGCTGGTCTTCATAGTGTCTCTGTGAAGCTCTAGCAGGACATGGGATGTTGTACTAAACCTTGCTGCTATCTCTGCTTATTCCTGCGTGGGGAAAGCTTCTGCAAAGCTTACTTCAGCTTTGATATGGCTACTCTATGAATAAATCTGGCTTTATGAATTGAATTTTTCTGTTGTGATCCAAGCTGTGGAGTCTCAATAGTCTCTTGAAGCATAATATTACAGTGCAGGAACTAGAAGTCAAAACTGGACCAAAAATCCTTAGAACACTCAGGTTCTTAACGTTGGTACTGTTCCTTTTTTGCCCTGTCACAATAAGCTGGCTTTCTAGGAGAAGAAAAACCTCTACTACTTCATGACAAAGGAGAACTGTAAAAGCCTGCCCCTCTTTGGACCTCAAAAAGGGTGTTAAAAATATATTTTTTATTATTAAAATTTTAAAAAAGCAGGAGATAATGTTAAGTTTGAAAGTTCTTTTCTCTTGCTGGTCACAAAGTGTAACAGTGTATCCTGAACAAAAGCCCCTCACCCTGGGAAATCTGATATAGTTGTATTTGGCTTAATTAAGCCTAATGGGAATATAGATAATCTTGAGCGTAACCTGAAAAAATCTTTTCCATGGATCGTCTTCCATGTCTTTGTAGATCTTAAAACAAGAGGCAGGGCCACACAATGCTCCTCCTGTAGATGCAGCAAGTCATCTGTGTGTTTTTCAAAGCAAATGCAGAAGTATCCAGATTTTTGAAATATTTCTTATTTTAAGCAGAAATGAGTATAGAAATACTTAGCTTCATGTAACTGACATGTAGCTAGTCAGCACTGGATAAGCTATACTAACAGTTACCTCCTTTCTTGGAAAACTGCTGGTGACCCTTTTGACACTCATTCCCCCTCCCAGTGTAGTTTGGCAGCTGTGGGAGGAGGTAAGGCAGTGCTGTACTGGAAAGGGATATTGTGAACATCCTATTCAAAATGCTCCAATTTCCCTTCCACTCATGCAAATGCTTTTTATTTTTATTTTTAATTATTATCATTTTTTTAAATACTGGTACAGTTTCTGTGGGACCCTCTTGATAAAGCTGTTGTGCTAGCTTTGACCTAGCAATCCAGAGGACCCCAGAACCTTGAATCTCATGTCTCACAGATTTTTGCATGCATGTGAAAAGCAATTAGCTTATCATATAGCTTTTGATGTTTGCTGTTTTTTGTTTTTGTGTTTGTTTGTTTGTTTTTCCCTTATAGGTGCAATATTATGTGATTTTTGTTGAAATTCATAAATTCCAGTGCAACTCTGCAAAACCTTTTAAGGTCTTTTAAGACTTTTAAAGTCTTTGATGCCCAAAGGCTTAAAATCCAGGAACAGTCAGGGTTTTCTCCTTTTCTTAAAGTTTGGGGGATTGGTTTAAACTAATCATACCATTCTAAGGTCCTGGCTTGAATGTTTTGGAGGTCTGTGGGAAGCTCACAAACATGAATTTTTCCTGCTGTTTGGGTTTGTATGAACATGTGCAGCAAAAGGGTGTAAGAAACAGGCAGAGGCTAGTAGAGAAGGATATCACTTGGAGTGGCGGGGTATTCCTGTACCACAGAGCAAAATATCTGAACTGTGCCAGTGCTCTGTCTGCAACCAGTGTGGTTGAAGCATTAAGATTAGCAGATGAGCTAGGCCAGGAGTCTCTTCCCGCTACTGCTGTAGCGTGTACAGGCACACAGCAGGTGGTGTAGGCCCAGACCGCACCTCCATGCTGCTGAGGCCTGGGAGACCTTTCAGAAAGAGCCTGTGCCTGCTGTCAGGGCACAAAAACTGTATGTCCCATTTTCTGAGCCTCTTCTGAAGAAAGTTCTGTTGAAGTTCTCAACGTTTTTTAATGATCTGACTGCAGATGACTTGTGACAGTGTTTCCTCGTGCTGAAGAGTGGTGGACACA